TGTGCCTGTCCGGCTGGTCCTGCTAGCTCGTGTGGCCCAGGGCTGATTTTTCTCACAGGTGACCCTGACCCCGTGATCAGTTCCTCCTGATGTCAGGCCGGTGCTCCCCTCTTTCCTCCAACACCAGATTCCTTCTGTCCCTCTGGCCTCCAGTGTCTGCTCCACCCCACACTGTGGCTGAGGCTTGTCATCTGCTGGGATAGCACGGTGCAGGGCCCAGAGCTAGGGACTGCCCTGGCTCCAGCCCCAGCCCTGCTGTTTCTAGCCCTGTGACCCAGGGTGAGTCACCGAGTGTCCCTCATCTGGAAAATGGGGCTGATAATAGTTTCCGCCTCCCGGGGTGGTTGTGCAGGATCAGATGAGCTCATGCAAGGGAAGTGCTTAGTTGCTTAACACGTGCTGGCCACAAGCACAAAGGGAGTGACACATGGTTTCTGGTGACGCTCCCCGTCACCACGCAGGGGGTGCTGTCATTACCATGCCCACAGCTCGGGGGGAGGTCCGAGCACCTGGGAGCCCTCCAGAGCTCCATATTCCCCAGCCCACTATTCCTGGTGGCTTGGTGGCCTCTAGATCCTGTCCACAGGCAAGACACTGAGGGCTGGGGAACCCGTCCAGGTGCCATGCATCCCTGGGGGCAAGCTTGGTGTGGTGGCCCTGGTCAGGAAAGAACCACCCCCTCAGAGCGTCAGGGGTACAAGGCCAGTTGGCTGTGAGCTTTTGGACTTTGGGGGATGAGCTGAGAGGCCAGTGAGCCCAGCATTCCTGAAGGCCAGGTGCATGGCTGGAAAACTCTGTGTCCCATGGTGCTTGCTCCCAAGAGTGCTCATCAGGACCACCTGAAGGCACCCAGCTTCCAGGAGCCTTCCCTACACCTCTGTCTCCCCACAGCGGAGAGTCCCTGAGGATGGCCCGAGAACGTGCCTTTCCCCATCAGTCTCTTAGGCAGCGTAGGGCCTTGTGGGTGATGGCATCCTGGAAAGACTGGGCCCCGTGTCTGGGACATGCAGGCTCCGCTTGGGTCCTGGTCCAGGCCTCCTCATTATTGCCTACACAGCTGAAGGCCCTCGGGGTCTGCATACGGACTGCCCTGGGGACCTTCTTCACTTTGACCCTGGGAGCCTCCCTGCCTTGGATGGCACCTGGAAAGGCCAGGAACCTGGAGAGACTGTGCCAGGGCTGGTAGCACGTGTGCCTGGTCCCCACCCAGGGAGGGAGGAGTCACTAACTTGCTCTGGGTGGAAGGAGGGCTTGCTGGTGGTCAGCTGCCCCTTGGTCTCAGTTCCTGCCCATGCCTTGGGCAGGTGCATGTTTCTGGTGATGCTCCCTGTCACCACGCAGGGGGTGCTGTCATTACCATGCCCACAGCACGGGGGAAGGTCCAAGCACCCGGGAGCCCTCCCGAGCTCCATATTCCCCAGCCCACCATTCCTGGTGGCTTGGTGGCTCTAGATCCTCTCCCCAGGCAAACACTGAGGGCTGGGGACCCATCCAGATGCCATGGATGGTACCTGAAGAGGCCAGGAACCTGGAGAGACCCAGACCCCTCAATCCCCAGGGCTTCTTCAAGAACTTGACAGTGGCCTGCCGGCAGCCCTGCTCACCAAGGGCTCCAAACCAAGCTGGGATTGCACAGGCTTCCTGCCCATCTGGCCCTGGTGGAGTCTTGGGCCAGAGGTGCCCTTCTGAGACCACCCAGGAAGCTGCGCTGCTCCCTCTCCTCCCCAGCTGTGGCCCTCCTGTTAGTCACAGCCATGGCCCAGCTGGGCTCCACTCTGGCCAGCAAGCTGACCGCGTGGGAGGGAAGCCTGTAAACCCCCAGGCACCAGCTGGGCAGCACGGCCTCATCCCCTGAGGGCAGCACCTTGGGACTGGGGCTGGTTCCCC